TTACCCAGTCAATTGGACAGTTGACCTAGAAATCAGCTGTATTGGGGAAAAAGTCAACTGTGGCCAATTGACAGTCAAACCTCATGAAATTTGATCCACATCAACATTATGAACTCATATGAACCATTTGATCAAGTTTGTATCACAATTCCACAAGAAATTTGATCAGATCATCAAAAGGGCAAAATGGTCATTTTTAGGGTTTTGACTGCACAAGGGCAATTTTTGACTGTTTGACCTAGCCAATGGCAAACCAAGCTCACATATGGCCTCAAGGACTCAATGGAATTATCTTGACATGTTCATCAAGCTCAAAAGATCCCAAGTACACAAGATTGACAGTTGAATTTCTCAGTCAATTGATCAATTTTGACTGTATACTGAAAAGTCAAACTTTGACTTTTTGGTCAAAATCAAGAGTCAAGATTCATTTTTCATCAAAACATTCCAAATCATGAAACTTGTTCACCAAGAAATCACAAAATGCAAATTAGGGTTTGAAAATGGAATTTTTCATAACTTAGAATTTTTCTAAGTTATGAAAAACCCTAATTTTTTCTCAACTTTGCCCCATCTTTTCACCATGATCCATTTGGATTCAAACAAAAGTCAAAACATGAAAGTTGTAGCTTGTTGCATAATCTACAACTTTGATTCACAAAGTTTTCTCATTTGAAGCTTGTATCTCAAGTTATAAATTTTTGAATAAGGGCACTAAACCATCTTTTAACTTAGTGAAATTTGACCTATTTTGACAAGGTTTTCTACCCTACTTCAAGGCCACTTTTCATACCCTTCCACTTGGAATTTTGATTTTCATTTCAAAGATGTATTGTAGTACACATTCCAAGCTTTCCAAAATGTCCAAGAACTCATCAAACAACCTCATAACTTGAGAGATTCGAATTTCACAAGTTGGCAAAAATTCACTTTTGTTCTTCATCAAGACATGTTCATAACCTTGCCAATTTGAAATCAGTTTGCTTTATGCTTGATTACAGGTCCTTGAACCATTTCATACTCAATAATTTAATGCATATTCAATGTGTTAAGGTCATGTTCTTTGTGTTCTAACATTGCATAATGGTTTAATCCTAAACTAGATAAAGTGGAATTTCCATTTTTGAAAAGTTTAGCTTTATGTCAAGTTTGTAATCCAACAAGTACATGAAAGATCTGCTTTGCACAAGATTATGTGCATAACACACTGATCAAGAGAGGCTTATGCAGCACATTAAGAGGCCCCCTACTAACCTAAAACAACCAACTTGCTTTTGTAGCTTAAGTGTGAAGAAACATCCATAACTTATGCCATCTCTCTTTTCAGCTTAGACACAGAAGAACAAAGTTATCAAACATCTTCCATAGAACCTAACAAAGCCAAGACACGACCCTTGCACCTCCAAAACACCCTCCATCTCAGAATCATCCTCAAACTGCAAAAACAGAGTTGCCTCTGCAGTTTGAGTGCCAACTCCCATTTCCCTCGAGCATTCTTACCAAAATCAATCCATACACATTCCCTAGCATATGTGCAAGCTAACCATGACCTAAAACCTGACCTGTAATCCCTCTAACAGCTTCCACCATTTTTACATTTTTGACTTGCAGGTGAAGTTCTATAGCTTGGTACAAGAAGTTTCAAGACAAAGTAAGCATTGAAAAAGCATCCCTGGACCTCAAGGAAGCTTTTCCAATCATTACATTGTACTGAAAGTCTCTCATTCTCCACATAGAAGTTCAACTGCACAGGTAAAAGTTTGAATTCGTATCTCTCTCATTAGGCATCTTTAGTCTTAAGTTTGTGAAGAAACAAGGTCCTACTCATAGCCCTGAACATGTACATAGCTTTACTTTTCATTTCTTTTATCTGAGTAGAGAGAATTTGAGCTCTGAAAATGGTAGAAAAGCTAGGTCAGGAAAGAGGGGGAGAGAAATTCTCCCTCATCTTAGAGAGATAGGTCATGTTCTTTATATGGTTGAAACCGTCTCTCAATGCTCTACACTTTTCATGTTATGAGTTTTGCTTGAAAGTCCAGGAATCCAGAGATAAAAAACGCGTGTTGTAGCTTGAAGAAGGCTGTACAGAGGTTGAAGAAGGAGTGGTCTGGGCTGGACCTGGATTTGTTTTCTTTTCACACCCCATTTTCATGTTTACACCCCCCTGAGCCCATTTGTTCATTTCTTAACATTTTTGACTTTTTTCTTTTTGGTTGACTTTGTTTATTTTTTCTCATGACATTAGAAAATTGAAAATATTTTTTTTTCATCATTTTTTGCATTTATTGCATATTTATTTGTTTATTTTCTTTGTTTGTATAATATATATATGTACTATTATAGAAAATAAATAGAAAATAATGTAAATACAATTTTTATTTTTTATTTACTTTCTGAAAATATTTCATACAAAAAATACTCTTTTATTTATTTTATTAAAATATTAAATAAATATTTATTTTTTGTATAATACATATTTAGGGTTTAATATAAATATATATATATGTGATTATTAATATGTTTAAGACAAAATATAAAAATACTTGATTTTTTCATTTTTATTTAATATTTGATACAAAAATACCTTTTTTCACAATATACTTCATTTTATGTTATTTTTATAAATAATAAATAAATAGTTGTATTAAAATTAAATAATACCTTTTTTTCTTTAAAAATTAGGGTTTTTGCCCTAAATTCAAAATACTCAAAAAATAATACATTTTTATTTCTTTTTTCCTTTTACATAAATAATATTTTCTCATACACATAAAAACTTTCTTTTTTGCATTTCACATATTTATTTAATTTACATTTAATTATGCAATTTATCTACTATGCAAATATCCAATTGATGTAATAATTTAGATTTAAATTCTTGTCAATATCCCCATTTGAACATTTGTACCCCCTTCCCATATTTGGTTTTGTAATAGCTTAGTAATTTTAATTTCGCACTTTATTGCTTTCTAATGATAACATGTTAGAATTAGGGTTTGTATGCGAAAAACGATAAAAAAATAGTTTGACCTAATACAAGACAAACAAGCATGAAAATGGACACACAAATCACACTTGCACCCCCTAGGGTATTCCACCTGTTGCCTTCAAATAAATGGGCCATGTTGCATGTTAAACTTCTTTGGGCAAAGCAAATGATTTTGAATGATCATAGTCCCTCGATAAAACTTTTCAAAAACAAACAAAAACAAATGATCAAGTCCCTTAGAGAAATTGCTCAAAGACATTTAACGCCGTTGCAATTATGGTCTAAAACGATGACCCGCGCCTGTCCCTTTCACATCCTAACACAAGGTTGTCCACCAAATACAATGGTGGAGCAAACTTGTTAAAAGGGTTAAAGTATAGCAATGATCTTTTGAGAAATTTAGGAGTAGATAACCTCTTAGTTACTTGAATCAACTTGCAAAACAAAACATTTGCCTAATTTCAAAATCACACATCACTACACTTTCAAAACAACTTTCAAAAACAAATGAAAACTTTTTCAAAAGACATACATCTTTGTATACATCCCCACATGGATCATTACAAAGGTTGCCACCACATTGGCCTCTTTTCAAAACATTTTCAAACCCACACACTCAAGCACTATTTAAAACAATTGAAAACAAAAGGCAAGTGATCTAAGCAAGTAACTAAGAGCCCATGGATAACCATGGATAGAAAGGGTGCTAATACCTTCCCTTTCTATAATCTACTCCCCGAACCCAAGAAAACATCTCAAAAGGTTTTTGCTGTGCTTTTTAACCTTTCCTTAGGATAAAATAAAAAGTCGGTGGCGACTCTTGCTAACCGCAACATTTGCGAATACAAACGCAAACCTCAAGTCAGTTCTCCCACCGTATCACATCAAGCTTCTTCTATTTTTTTTGATAAGCGTCAACATAAGATATTAGCAGAACCTCTTCTCCTTCTTCTACATGTTCGACGTAGTTAGCCTGTTTCTCCCAATCAAGACACTCATATTGAAACTGTCCCAACTGATGACATTTGAAACATTCTACAGTGGCTTTATTCATAGATGACCTCCCTTTCCTTTACCTTGACCCTCTCGGAATGAGCCTCTGCCCCGTCGTGGCTTGTCGTCATAAGAAATTCTTAATGCTTGTTCTTCCTCCTGATTCCCATGCATTCTTTGCTCTTGAACAAGTAAACTTCCATGGAGCTCATCAACAGTCATAGTATCTATGTCATTTGACTCCTCAATTGAACATACAACATAATTGAACTTGGGAGTTAAAGATCTCAAAATCTTACCCACCACTGTGCTTTGCTTCATATCTTCTCCATTCACTTTTGTTTTATTTACCACCATGAGAGTTCGTGAAATAAAGCTATCAATCTTTTCTCCTTCTTTCATAACCAACATTTCAAACTCCTTCCTCAATGCCTACAGTTGCGCTCTCTTTACTTTGGTTGATCCCTGATACTTCTGTTTCATCGAATCCCATATCGCCTTTGATGTTCTTTTGTCAAGAATCGTTTCCATGATCTCTCTATCAATCGCTTGAAAGAGATAGTTTTCAGATCTTTAAGTTTTTTTTCTTCGACACTTTTCCTCAGAGCCTCACTTGCCGACGAAATCCCGATGGCTGGTGCTGGAATACCTTCATCTACCAAGTTCCACATCTCTTTGCTCCTCAAGAAATTCTCCATCAACATCAACCAATAATCATAATGGCCGTCAAGTCTTGGAGTCACAAATTTCTCAGAGTTTGTCATGCTTCACTCACTCTCACACTCCTATTTAGTCAGTCCCCTTTTGAAAGCTCTGATACCAAATGTTGAAAATCAGATTTAAGTAAAGCTACCAAAGTAAGTGGAGGAATATGTGTTTATTCAATTAACCAATGGCTAATATATAGCCATCTTACAAGCAAAAGGAAATAACCAACTCTACTCTTTACATGCCTACAGAGTAATAACACAAATAACAAATCCTATTTTTTCTAAAGAATAGGTCTTATTCAAGCAGACTAATAACAGTAGATTAAAACAATAATACATGTCCACCTAACATGTACAACATGGATAAAGGATTTGTTGTTAATTATCTTGAAACTCTGAGTCTTGGCACCTCTTAGAACAAACTTGCAACCGTTTGTGGTAAATTCTATCCGCAACTTATCAAAATTCCAAAGGATATGGCCCAAAGATTTCAACCATTGAATACCTAAACTTAACTTATAGCACACCAATGGTAACATAACTACATCAAGAGTGAATGCAACTTCTAATTGATGGCCACCTCTACCCGTAACAATAAAGGTGAAATAGCTTTTAACTTACATCCCATGGACTTGGCGATTTCTAAATCCAATCAATTATGTGTGCTACCACTATCAAGTAAAATATGGAGTAATTTCTTGTCGTGTAACCCAATAACTCGCATAGTTTAAAAACTCGCAATACCTGTCAATGCTTGAAGGGATAATTATGGATTTTCAAAATCTTGAAGGGATTCGAATTTATCTACACTATGATCAATTGTGGGTGCATCCCTAGGTGAATCATCATCAATCTCCAAAACCATGAGTTGAGATATTCTGTGTTTGAATTGATGACCCGATTTAAATTGCTCATCATAAAACATACACAAACCCTTTGCTCTACACTCATCCATCTCAATTGCGGAGTAAGTGCGAGTAGGGAGATTGGAGGTTCATTTTAGGATTGGGTTTGGGGTAAAAAGAATGGTGGTAGTAGTGTTGACATTTGAGGTTAACGGTGTAAGAGGTGAAAGAGAAATGGTAGGTTTGTGAAAAACATACTCTTACTTTTGGGAAAAGTTGTAAATTGTGAATTGGGTCTTTGTGAAGAAGGTTGGGAAGCTTCATGAAGCTTGGCTAAGTTCACAACGAGAGAAATGGAAGAAGGTTTAAACATATGAATATGCATTTGAGTGTGGTTATCAAGACCACCTAAAAAGATACTGAATGCGTGTTCTGGGATCAAGTTAAATTGTGTTAAAGTGAGTTCGAATGATTTATATAATAATTCTAGTGGCGTAAACAATTTGGTTAATGTTGCAAGAACCGTTATAGCCTTGTCAATCGTTGGACGCCGGAGAACCCTGACGCACGTATCTCATCCATATCAGCATTATGCTGAAGTTGCAGCTGAGTAATACGATCACCAAAGTGTTGCTCGAGTTCGTCCAGAGGACGCGATTGAGACGATTACATGGTCACCAAATTGATACCAACCTTTTGGATAACACCCCATTATTCTAGAAACCAAAATGACAAAATGGGGAAAACAACAAAATAGAGAAAATGTCAAATTATTTAAATCATTGAAATCCTATCATACTGTCAATGATTGCCATGGTTAAAGGAGGAAGGAAGAATTTGTGTGAAGGTTTTTGTGGGTTTGTGAAAGAGAAAAAAAGGAGAGAATGAAGAGAGAGAGTAAAACGTGTAAGAGATAAGAGGATAAAGAAGGAATATGGGGAGTCAATAACAAAGAAACATGTGGCATAATGATTGAGTTACCAACATGTTCAAGCAAATTGGATATGGTCGGATGAGCATGTCCGTTTTTTCTGCACTTTAGTATACGGTAGGCCAAGAATTTAGGTCATTACCTCTAATGTGACCGCTCTGCTCCGTCCTATTTTCTTCACGAACTTTTACGGGCATGAGCATTAACATATAATTTGCATTTTTAGACTTAAAAAGTACAGTGTCCGCGAGATTTTTCCATCCCGCATTCACTTTTTTGTAGGACGAGTCTAAGTTTTAGACTCTTATCCTCAACTATGACCGTCCCGCCCCATCCCGTTTTTTTAGGACTTTTGCAAGGCAGGCCTGCCTGTCTTCCACCCCACTTATAATCATCATTACCATAAGCTATACAATAAAAATATCATTTAAGTCAATACTAATACTAATACTAGTGCTTTATTCATTTTGATATATAGACCACTATTAGTCCTTTCTACATATTACTCTAACATTAGAGTAAATATCTCTAATTGAAATCTTAGCCAACTAAAAATCCTTAACTAATTAAATTACATGTAAACTAACTTATACTTTATGTTGTTTTCAGTTTTGAATAATTGGCACAAAGAAAATTATCGGAACGAGTCACGTACTAGGTCGCTTTCTTTAATATGTTTCGTCGTACTGTCAATAATTATGTAATGCAGTCTAGTTTCGACGACGTCTCCAGAATAAAACAACCTGTTCAAAATTACAATTATCATTTGCAGTGTAATGAATCGTTCAAAGAGATATACATTCAGATGGTGTTTAAACCACTCATAGTATTTGGAAATAATCTAGTTGTTGATGGCGTAAGAGGCCACTCAAAAACCAGAACAAAAAAAAAGAGATGAAGAAAATGAGAGAGAGAGAGAGAGAGAGAGAGAGAGAGAGAGAGAGAGAGAGAGAGAGAGAGAGAGAGAGAGAGATTCCGAAAGGTTCATAAATATGGAGTAGTTTGCAAAAATAATGAAGAACTCTATTTATAGGCAATGAATTCAATTTAGTGGAGAAAACATGGGAGGGAGTTAAATATTTAAGGCCCATTACTGGTCGTTTTTGCTTGGTCAGCAAATCATGCTCTGACTCATTCTTGGAGGGTAAGCCAAACTCGGTCAAAACTATGTTAAGACTAGGTTTTGGATGATTAACACGCCATCATTGTTAATTAGTTAATATTAATTAATTTCCACTGAAATCAATTAAAAAAATAATTTATTTGAACTTATAAAATTAATTAAATTCCACCAACTCAGGTTCCAAAATATTTAGTCATCTAGACTGAGCTGAACCGAACCGAGTCAGGCTGAGTCGGCTGACATGAAGGACAGGCAACGGCGCACGCGCGTGTGTGTTTAGATGGCTTGGTGGTGTGTAATCACTCCCTTATAAAATTGGGTACCCCTTGAGGCCCAACCCATTTGGAAAAGTTGGAATATATCTACACTACTAATATTTGTATTCTCTCCTACGTGGGATTAAAATGAAGCCTTTCAAATTAATTTTCATATTAGTTCTTACTTGTGCTCAATTTGTTATCCATTTAATATCAATAAATCATTCCAATTCTCACTACAAGTTATCATCATTCTAAGATTTCCAACAATCCCCCACTTAAATTTGAAAGGTTATTTTAGAAGTAGCGTCCGACGTTTTTAAGATTGTGCATAAGCAAAGTTGAATACAACTTAAACCTTTATGTAGCAAGTAGGATTCTAATTCAACAAGAGTGATATTATCATATTGAACTCTATCTCAAACATCATACCTGCACCCAACCTTTTATTAAGGTGTATTCTAATAGCCCGTGCTTTAATGGCCCTGCACGTGTATCCCGGTTTAGTGAATGTTCTTGGAATTCTGCCTCGCAATTCTATAGTAATCGACCTAAGTTCCACAATAACATAAGTGAATCTATCAAGAGTACTCATGTATCCTAGGTGCTATCTCAGACAAAGTATATATCTCATTAAGAGCTTCAATCGTCTCATCCTCTTATTACTTCGGGATTCATGTTTCACTTGCATGATCATCTCATATTAATCACAACTTGTTATTACCCATTGAACATATTTCTTGGAATCTACAGTAATCTAGGTCAGGTTACCATCATGAGAAACTCATTTCTTTATAGGCATTAGTTCCATCTTCTTGGATGTATTATGAACTTTCTCTCTAGCTAATCCTTTCGTCAAAGGATATGCTAAGTTTTCATCAGTGCCTACATGATCCACTCTTACAACTCCTTTAGAGATACAATCTCTAATATTGATGTGATTTCTTCTTATTTGAAGTCTTTTACCATTACAATAATGGTTCTCAATATTTGCAATATTAGTTGTACTATCGCAGTGGATCAACACAGTTAGCAGAGGTTTTTCCCATGAAGGGCTCTCAACTAGAAAGCATCTTAACATACTTGCTTCTTCACTAGTTGTGGCTAGTGCTATAATCTTTGACTCCATTGTGGACTGAGCCAGGATAACCTGTTTCTTTGATTTCCAAGATACAACTCCTCCAGCTATACTAAATATATAGCCTCTAGTAGCTATAGAATCATCCAATAAGGTGTTCCAATATGCACCAATGTATCTTTCTAGTACAACAGGAAATTTCTGATAAGGTAGGCCGAGATCCATGGTCCTTTTAAGGTACCGCATGACGTGCTCAATAGCTTGCCAACGCTCATTACTCAGTCTTCTAGGAAACCTACACAATAATCCCACGACATATGTAATGTCAGGTCTAGTAAAATCAGTGGCATACCTAAGACTGCTGTAATACAGTGGGAGAACTGACTTTTAGTTTTGCGTTTTATCGCAAATGTTGCGGATAGCAAGAGTCTCCACCGACTTTTCTTTTATCCAATAAAGGAAAGGGTGAAAAGAACAGGAAAGATCTTTGAAAATATTTCTGAGTAAGGGGGGTAGGTTATGAAAAGGGAAGGTGTTAGCACCCTTTTCATCCGTAATTATCTACGGGCTCTTAATCGCTAGCTCACTTTTGAAAATGCTTTGTGTTTGTGTGTTTGAAAGAATATTTTGAAAAATGCCTAAGTTAGTCAAACTTTGTAATGATTCTCGTATCGTTGATGTAGCGGTAGAAATGTTCAAGACTAAGCCATTGGATTGACTAGAATTTATACAAATCAAAATAAAAAATCACCACCGTGCTTTATTGTTTCCAAAGGAATGGGAAAAGAGCGAATAACCCAAAAAAGGGGGGAAAGATTCAAGGTAAGGGGGTTGGTTATGCAAAGGGAAGGTATTAGCACCCTAAACATCTACGGTACTCCGCAGGAACCTCTTTGAAAAATCTGTATATTTTGGTTATGAAAATGTGTTATATAAAATATGGATGGTGGAGGTGAGAAAAGAAATATTTTTATGATTTTTGCACCCGCCGCGCTTGCGAACCTTTAGTGCCCACGTACCACCTTTCGTGCAATAGGGGATCAGGGTAAACGTAGTTCCTCTTTTAAAAATTTGAAACACAAGTGTGTTGGTTAATTTTATGAGATAAGACATCATCGTCATTGTCCGTGTGGAAAACATACTTACTACCCACAATCATGAGAAAGGAGAATTTGCATCATCTCAAAGTGGAGGATATGGCTTGGATTTTAAAATCAGCAATGCCTCACTCAACACCCAAGTGGAAAACGTCTCTCTTTATTACATATTGTAGAAGTATAGTTTGTTTGCATCACTACAAGGATT